ATAACTCGGCTAAGTGAAGAATCTTTTTTTTCCCTCCGTTGTAATGGTGATAAAACAGGGAATGGATGTTTTGCCTGGGCCAATGAATTTTCATGATGGTTTTCCAATGATGTCTTAGATTGTGCTGATATAATGGGTACGGTAAGTTAGTTCTATGCTTAGTTCTCATGGCTTTTCTATGATCATCTTAGCACGTAGTCCAGACTGTATAGCCTATTGTAAAACTTTTATAATTTGTTTTTGCAGTTCAAATATAGAATGATTTGAAAATTAAATGAGCCCCTGGAATATCAGTAAAAAGATGACTTGAAGTAACATAAAATACATTTGTACGTGAAATGGTATGAATATGAGCAAAATATAACTGCTAAATAATTTCTTGGTTCAGTGACTTCTTTCACATGAAGAAAAGCCTTAACTCTCAATCACTAATTTAGTTCTGAAACTGAGTAAAAAAGCTATGATAATCTGTTACTGTGCCGTACACTTGTTTATTTTAATTGCATTTTAACTATGTACAAGTAATGTTCCTTTAGCTGTACTACTAATAGGATTTCATATAGGCCATGTTAATAGATAATGCATAAATCAAAAATCATTCTCTACAGTTTTTAGTTTACACAACATTTAAAATAATCTATTCCTGACCAAAAGGGATAATCTCCCATCCATTATTTCTAAAGGGATCTTAAATAATGGGGTGTATGCCTGCCATCTAATTGATCAGTTGTCAAACCACTTGGAAAAACACAATGCAATGAAGATATAATGAGCAACATGACACAACACAGAACTGTCCAGCTGCAGTAAGATCTCTGTCCCTGGAAGATTTTTGTGCAGGTCAGACACACGTGTCAAGGATGGATGATCTTGCCCGGAACAGGGGGCTGGACTAGTTGCAAACCCAGGGTTTCCTCCAGCCTGTTTTTATTTTTAAGATTCTTTAATGTAAAACTGAACGTGTAAGTGTTCACTTACTTGGGGCTTAATACCATAGCTAAAAGCTTTATCTCTGAATATAGAACAAAATGATTAGCTCACTACGGTGGATCTTTGTGCCAGCAATTTGATGTTACCTGCTTCATATATCATCACTAAATTTGCAAATGCTTAGCAGAGTCTTCTGGAAGAGATTGTAGCCAGATTCAGAAGCTTCTGACTACATCACTACACTTATTTTGCCAGTTTTCACTAGCTAATCAGGATACAAAGATGCTAGGTAGGTATGTGGAAAAGACCTCTTCCTGTTGCAGGAAGCAATGGTTGAGGATTCAGTTTCACTCTCAGTCTGGACTTAACCACTGTCACTGCACGCTGCTGAGGGTGTACGGTTCAAACAAGACAGAGAGCCAGAATCTGATCAGTTCATAAAAAGGTATGTTAACCTACATTGCTTGACAAAAGAGCATCTAATGCAATTATGTTTTGCCTTTTCAAAATGCTTTTACTAGATGCAACAGATTACATGTTTTCACTCTCAAACTAGTTATACTTACTGCTCTCTCTGATACAGTACTCCATACAGTTCAAAATCAAGGATGAAAGGCAATGTATATTTCTAAGTAGCTAAAAATCTTACATTAACATTAAACTCCAAATAGTTGAGAGTATTCAGGCCCCTATGCAAATAGGGCACTGAACAGGTTTTTTTAAGCCAGTTTGGCATGGCTAGGCGCGTCTACACGTTCATTAATACACCTTAGATACTGCACATTTAGTTTAGTATTGCCTTAATGAAATACTAACTGAATGCACAGTAATTAGGGTTACTGCACAGTAGCGCCAGTGCAGTTTTTTAGTGATGCTTACTGCGCATTAGCCTAATAACTGCGCAGTGGGCTATTAGCACGGTTTCTGCTATGACACGCTACTGCGCAGTGTTATTAGGCTAACGCGCAGTAAGTGTCTTGTGTAGATGTGTCTGCTGTGTACAATATAATAAATGAGGAACACTGATTCTGTACACCCCAAACCTGTATGAAATGGAATGGGAATCTATGAATGTGTGTGTGCACCAGGAGAGGAGAGGCAGCTTGCTTTTTTCTTTTCTTTTCTCCTTTTTTTTTTTTTTTGGAAAAATCAAATACCAAAAAAATTCCAAACATAAAATATTTAGAGAAAGGGCAAAGTTTACCAACATGCTATGACTTAGACAGGCCATCTTAACCTAGCTTCAGTTAGTAACCTGTCCTGCTTTTCTTGAGACAAGTGACACAGAGAAAATCTTTGGCTTGTGCTGTTCCAAAACAGAGACCATATGGCATAGATTAGACCCTAGCATTGTTCATGATTCATTATCTCAACTTTAATTGGTTTAACCCTGAATTTCTGGGACAATATTTGAAATAATGAGGCCTGACAGGTCTAAGGTGACAAGAAAACAAGAGGTACAAAAATCCCCAAGAGACTGGCTATGAGTTATAGTTAGCATCTGCAATATGATTTCTCTAGAGAAATGAAACAATGTTTTTGCAAAGTTTCATCTGTCCTGCTATCAGAAAACTCAGTTGTACTTCATTCCTGGTCTGTGAGAAAGATTAGACTGGTAAGAACCAATTTCTAGAATTAAAAATGGAATAGACTGGTATGGGAATAAAGGAAGAAACTCATAGCAGTTGCCATAACAACCCGATACAACTGTTCACCGACAGGACAATCTGCTGCATATTTATAAATATAGTGGCAGTTGATACTTTGGCAAGTTTTTTCTTTTCTCTCACTAATCCCAGTACTCCGAAATTTTGAAATTGCAAAAGGATAAAAACCCAGGACTGTGCAGGGCACTGGCATACATCAGACAAGATGTAAAACTGCAGTATCAGATCTGCTTTTCTGGTCAAATCGCAGTCTTGTAAAATTCCAGTCTGCCTTCCTGCGTTCCCCTTGTGAAATATTCTTCACTTCCTAACACCTCCAGCAAGAGAGGGGCATGACAAGTCTCTCACTGGGGTTGTAGAGAGGCAGCAGCAAGGCGCCAGACTGCCATGCGTAGACCCTGAGATGGTGCAGAGTCTTTTGGAAGAACTGGATGCCTTTAAGTCGGCAGGCCCGGATGAGATCCATCCGAGGGT